CATTTTTGTCTTCTAATAAAACCCTTAAATTATTTTATGTTTATAAACCCTCAATAGACCAAAATTTTGTACATAGACAAAAATGCAGGTTCAAGCCATTATTAAAGCTATTCATTCCCAAACTAATTCTACCTCTTTACTTGAGCAAATTGAGTTCGGGCTCCACAATCACTTTCCACTCCCAGAATTCTTCAAAGGGATTTAAAATGAACCCAATTCTTGATTACTTCCTTGTTCTCCCAATGGCATAAATTTATAACGTATGCATAGCTATGAGAACACTAATGGCTACTTACACTGATTCAGGACTATCCTTTTTCTTTTCTTCCTTGAAGTTTCTTATTTTCAGACCAAAAGAATAAATTTCTAAGTTTTTTTTATCATAAACCTTTTTAAAAATATTAACATTCAAAAATGTTTTACAATGTTTTAATGGTAAAATGAATATAAATATAGGCTCTGTGTTTCCCAAACCATAAGGGGGCACTGTTGCCAAAGCCATTTTAAAGATTTCATTGAATTAGTCTTCCTATAGCATAATTCTTACAGCCTGTTTTGCACTTTATTCTTGCACATTTCATTTTAGTAAGTAAACAAACATCCAACTAGTGTAATTACTGTGTACAAACAACTAAGAAAGATAAATTTGAACCCAATGCTTAGTTACCTTATTTGTCTTAGAAATATCTTCACAGAATTCTAGGTAAGTCAAAATGATTGGGGAAAGAGGAAAAAAATCCCCAAATATGTATTAGGAAATATTTCAATAATAGTTCGAAGTAGCATCCTGCATTTCAAGACTCTTAACTTCCAAAATGCTTCACATTCATTCTCTCATTTGATCAGTTATCTTATTCAACAGTTTATATGCAAATTATGTGTTTATTAAAAGTTAAACCACCACTTTTCAAAAACTTCCAAATATTCTAATAAAATCATGTTCTTTTCAAAAATTTACTCCGTAAAAAAAACAAAAACAGATTTCAGAGTGCCTTTGATGTGCCAGGTACTAACCTATGTTCTGGGAAAATCGGAAAAAGATTGTCTCTAAACTCATGAAGCTAGTTATTAATTTTAGAAAGTTACACAAAAATATTCATACTGACCCTTCATATGAGAACAAATACTTCAATTGATTCTGACCTATCCCCACTTGATCAAAACTGATGCTAATAACAAAATGCACACTATACCACTGATGTAACAAATTATCATCAAATCCTTCACAATTGTTACTGGAACACATTTTGTCCCAACACTACTCTTTGTAGTTGCCCATTCTCTCTACTGTATTTCCTTACTTCCTAGACAAAGAAGTGTATTTACTTCCTAAATAAAAGTATAATAGCTACCAGGAGGGGAGAAAGTTTTTGTACGTTATTATTATTCCAATGACCTCTGCAAAAATTATGAACTTAAAGAAAAATACAAAGCTAAAAATAGTGAAATATTTAATAAGCTTTAGGGGGAAAATTTTTAGTCAATATCTTTAGGTTATCTTCTGGGGGTGCCAAGAAAATGTATACACATGACTTGTATTCATCTTTTGTGATCCGTACATATTATTACAATTTGTTTTTTCCTTTCTTAAAATGTGTATACATTTTTTTGGCACCCTCTGTATCTACATCATAGATAATTTTACGGTTCCCCCCACCCCAAGGAGAATTTTTAAAAACTATATTATTTTTCTTACCTAAGAGTAGTCAAGTCTAATGTTAGAAATAGAAATTTTGATTTTAAAATATATATACTTATAAGGACATACACCATCTTTAACCATCTTTAACTTACTGAAGACTGTCAGCCACATGCTATAACAGTAAAGAATCACCTATAATTATCTTATCAATTGACTACAAATGGGCTTTCTAATGTGCTTGAAAATAATCTTAGGTAAATACCACCCTTCAAATTGTATTTACAAATGATCAATTTGCTTAACAACCTTTTTCCCATAGACAGAAATGTAAGACAACAAAATAATCACAATTAGATCAAATAAATAATATCTAGTGAGGATTTGGAGAAAAATCAAGAATATGATATTCTTGTATATATTTGTGCACTGTAAAATACAATAACCATTTTTCTAACAAAAAGCTCAAATGACATGAAGAGACAAACAGTTTTATAACACCATTTTGCAAAGCAAACTAGGCAGATCTAAACTCAAGTATATTTCTTGTGGTGACGTAAGAAAGTTCAAAATATACCTTTAATTTCTACAAATACAGTCAGTTCTTCACTTAGAGCACTGACTAATAACACTCCATCTAAATATAACTAACTTCGCAAATTGAATATGAGCTATTAGCTATGCAAATAGTTTGGTGATCATTACTAATATAATTTCCATCCTCAGAAATAATTTGATAGTTGCTACATTTCAATTACCTGTTGAGTTTCAGGGTTGTTTTTTTTAATCCAAAAACAATATTTGCCTACATAAACACATAAAATTACAATAGTATTCACACTAAACAATGATACTTTTATATGAGGTTAACATATTTAGTACATTTTCATTTAAAAAAAAAAAAGACTGTCAACTTTTTAACATGAGCTTCCTTTGGGTCTATTTGGTTTTGTTTGGCAACCAACTCACCGACTCACAGAAGATAATGAAAAATGTTCCCCAGTCAAGGGCTATCTCCTTGCCCCCTTCCCAGTTAGAAATACCTTAGTCAATAACAAGTTAATAGAGTTTAACAACCACTATACGAAGCTAAGTTGATTTTAAAAAGTTAATGTTTCTCAAAATTTCAGTTTCTGCTACTAAGTTTGCTTTAGGGGGAAAGTAGTTAAAATTGCTACACTTCAAGTCAGAAGACCCGATTTCAACTCCTGATTCTACCACCTACCAGTTATACAACCAGAAGCATGTGACCCATGTGAGACTGGTTTCTCATCTGAGAAACCTTGTTCAACAGACCTTCAAAAAAAACTACCTCACAAAGTTTTGAGGAGTTAATTTTTAAAACGTTAAGTGGTACGCATAACAAAACAACAACTCAAGTATGTAATACACATGAACCAAAAAAAATATCCTTTATTAAAGTTTTGCTTGCTGGAAATTTTCTTAAGTTCCCTTAAATTAAGCTTAAAATTCATACAAAATTGGAAACAATACTAAAAAACAATACCGAAACACTATACCAAATACTGCAAAACATAACAAAAAGATGGGGAAAAAAATCTAATATCTTCCCCAAATAAAAAATGAATTCAAATTAATAAATCCTGAGACAATAAAGGGATATATCCAGATGAAGGATGGTTTCCATTTTATCCAAACCCTAACACCTTCAGTTAGAGTTAAGTAAATCCATCATCTTTTTTTTAAACCTTTACCATGGTTCTAAGATATTTTTTCTCATAAACACAGAGCAGGAACATTAGGCAAAGTAGTTTATCCCAAAATACTTTTGTCTGTGTCAGAGCAACAAAGATTGGAGCACTATCTGGTAAATAATGTGGCCACCTATGGCCATGTGAGTATAGAGCCCTAAATAGCTTGGGAAAAGACATCATAAATATCAAAGGGGGCATTCCACATTTTCAGAATATAGATAATCTCTAAGCACAAGCTTCAGCATGGGAACAGTCCAGCTGTCAGTCAGTCCAGCAATCTGAAAACTGGCTTGAAGTCAACCCTGCTTCAAAATCTTATAGTTATAACTGCACCTGAACAATATGAACTTATCCAGGAGCCACAGTCAAGGAATTTCAAAGGCAAGCTGACCCTTTGGAAGCAGTAAGTAGCAAAGTACCCTGAATCAGAGTTTAGCATTATCTTCATGAGGTTTCAGAAGCAAATCACTGTCTTCTTAAAACTACACTGCAACTAAATTTTCCTCAAAACCTTGAAGGTACCATAATAAAGCACAGGATACCAAATCCAAATCTTAGATTCTATTCTAGCCCAAGTTCTAATATTGCTGCAAATAACCTTCGGTTATTTAATGCTTCATTCATCTCTTCTGTGAAGTAGAAGGACAGACTTTATTTCAAGGAATAAAAACTATTAGAAAAATTAGATTCTTAAAATAAAACATGGTCAACCTTTTGTTGTACAAATCAAATTAAACAAGTAGAAGAGCTCAAGAACAATGCTTGCCACATTTCAAACCCTCTGTATTAGCTATTATGCTGATTTTAATCAAGTAGAAAAATATGTTTAAAAACCAGACCAACAAACTGAGTATTTAATAACCCAAATCTTGTCTACTATCTAGGCAAACTCTTAGAATGAAGATACTAGTTTAGCGTACCAAATAATGCAGTGGGAAAAATAATACGATCTCTTTGCTAATAGGTTTTTATGTTAACATCTATTTAGCCTAAAATAACCTTTTATTCTAGCAGTCATAATTTTTTTAATTATTCCTTTCTTTTAAAAAACAATCTTGGTTACTAGAATCACAAATTCTTCAGATAAATCTTTCTTGTCCATTTGTCTCCAATACTCATCAAGCCTCACTATCCAAGTATATAAACAATATCAGAAATCCTAGATGTACCTTTGAAAGATGCTGTTTGGAGCCCACTGCCAGAACTGTTTTGACTAGCTATTACACCATTTGCAAATGGAGATAATGCCAAAGTGTAAATTATCTTAAATCCTAGGAAAACAACAGGTTTAGTCATCAAAAAGCAAGATGTGTGAAAGAGGATAGGACTTGAAAAAGAAGCCCCCAGTCCTCCACTCTTTGGCTATATAATCTTGGGAAAGCCACTTGATCTCTGAGCCTCTTATACCCTTTATCTGTAAAATGGGAATAATCCTACTTCTCTCACTACATTGTTTGGAAACTCAAGGGAGAACACACACAGGAAAGTACTTTGTAGCCTACAATGTGTGTCACATATTACATAAATCAGTATTTTTTGTTGTTGCATGAACAGTAAGTTTCTCAACACACAAGTTATATTCTAAATAAACACTTTTGATCTCAAAATAAACTGTTATTCCAAATTTCTATTTAAAAAAAACTTGCCTTGGATTGAGTTCTCTTTCCATTTCTCATGCTAAATTTCTCCTTCATTTCTTCTAAAACTATCTTCAGTTTCTTTTCTTCAGGTGTCCCCAAGTATTTTTGGTTCACATGAAGATAGCAGTGCCATTTGGCTGATTCAAAGCCCCAGTGGCAAGTCCTTTTGTCAGGTGACCTGTGAGAATGCATCACAAATGTCTGGGGTGCAAACATTCCACAGCACTCGAGACACTGAATACAGGGAGCATCAGGCTGAACATAAAACTGGGGTGCAAAAAGACCCTGACATTTGCCCAAGCATTCATGTTCCACTTCGAAGGCACTGCCAGTTTCCTTTAACTGAGCCAAAGAGTTTTTGGCAGGAAGTATGCTACCATTTTGAGGAAAAGTGCGTGGCCGCAATAAAGCATTACAGAGTCTTTGTGCATCAGTTAATGTGATCAACCCACAGGATGGGGCATTGAATGGAAGTATTCCCAGAACCTTTAAGATATGAAGCTGGTCTGCCGTACACCTTGAACAATAGATGTACAACTCGTCACACACTGTATTTATTTGCTGGAGTGAAAACTCTCGGAGAACAGAATTTAGGACTTGGGGCAAACAGAGTCTCTTTTCTCCTCCAACCTGAAAACAAGAAATAGACTCTCCTTCCAACACAGTCTGGGTGAGTTCTGTGGAGCTATCAGAAGGGATGAGCAGTGGACCAGGAAGAACCTGAGGAGATGGAAGAGGCAGAAATACAGTAGGTGACATGCTTTCTTGAGAATAGCGAGCGGAAAATGCTGCTGGTCCACCCAGAGAGCTCTGACTACTTAAATGGAATTGTGCCAAAGTGTGTTTCAAACTGGGATTTAAATGTAAAGGTTCAGGCACAGAGGTACAGGTTCGCTTGACATGCTCTCCGTCAGTGTCCATTGGCGCTTCATAGTCATCCAAGTGTTCCTTCTTTACTGTTGGCATCTTGTTTACCATCATTTTTCCATTTGCATGTCTGTCTGTCATCATTTTTTTCACTGGAGGGCTGCCATCATCTCCCATCCCATTCATTTTTTTATTTGAACCGTGAACCAAGGAAAAATTCGTCTGTAGGTTTTCCATTGCTAAAAACTATTATGTTAAATAAGTAAATCTGAGATTTGCATTGTTACTTACTTATTTGAACACAGAAAAGTAATGTATACCAATACTTATGGTAACTTACTCAGAGAAAATTTAAATTTCCAAAAAGAGATCTTCCTAAATTACTCAACTGACTTTGCAACTCTAGTATAATTTCACTCCAAGTGCTATAAAATTTCGTCTCCAATATAAAGAATTTTGAGGCACACCTCTAAGAAAGCTTGTTTTCTAATTCTTCGGATGTATGTATTCAAGTTACCAATTCTCTCAATTCAAGATTTGCAGGTTCAATGCAATGGTTTGTTTGGCTTGGTTTGGTTTTAAGCAAAACAAGTGAAAAGTTTATGCAATTACTTGTGTCATAAAACCTAGACACAAACACAAGACAAAATGATGCACCCAAATTTAATTTCTGGCACCAAGGACACCAAAAAAGGAAAAAAGAAAAGTATCTCCTCTAAAAATGATGATCTGTTAGTCTGTGTTGACAAACTGAAGGCTTGTATAAATCGTCACGCCAGTAAGAAGAGCCTCTGACTCCACTTGAACTTCTATAATTAAAGATGATTTAAAGAAAAACTGCCCAGTTATCTTCAAGGATTACGGTTCATTCTTCCTTTAATTACTCTGGAAGAGAAGGGGGATGGGAGAAGAGTTACATTTGAATTTGATCCAGAGGCCAAAGGGTCAGTTTGAAACCAGTTTCTTAATCTTAAACTGAATTCACTTTTCCAAAGGTGACACTTGAGTGATTTCTTTAAATCTAACACCAGTTAATTAGAAGAACCTTCATTTAAATAGGAAAGCAATTCGGAAACCCAGTAAAGGGAGCAATATCATTCAAAAAGGAGAAGAGTACTCTTACAACGGGCAGAAACTTAAGCATATCATCTCACCCAAAACTCAGTACCAGAGACTTCTCAGTTATGCCATTTTAACTATAAGAGTCATTACTTCATCTCTTAATTTTAAAAAGAGAAACACCAGTTTCCTCAACCCAAAAAATCAGATAGTTATATGGTGGCTATGTTAACTCCTAAGTTACAATCTTAAGTGCATTGATTCATTTAGTCAGCGTGTGCGGTTTTTCTGGAATTTTTCTGGAAAAATTAACTTTCCTTTAAAAGGTTGGAGAATTTGCTTAATGGAAGCCAAAAGTTATAGCCTCCACGCCTGGGAATCTCCATCCTTGAAGACGACTAATCCGGGACAAAAAGCACAGGGCAGACAGACCTCACAAAGAATGAAAATGGAGGAAGATGAAAAAAGATTCTTCTACTCCTTTCCTGAGAGAAAATCCAAAAGAAATCCAATAAATAGAAAATTGCCTCCCAAACTCCCAGCAATTTACCTTAAAACAGACCCAAAGGGTTAAGGACCAAGACCACTAGCCAACGTACTGACTTTCGCCCACCATAGGAACACCTCAGCCAACACAAACCAAGGACGAGGGCAGGAGGCATGACCTAGACTGGGTGAGTCCCCCAAACCCTGAAATCCTCCGCCCACGCAAAACCACCCACCCATCTCAAACCCGAGGGGGATAAAGGGGGATGAAGAGGGGGAGGAGGGAGAAGAGTGGAAGACAGAGACCCGGGACGCCTTGGGGTGTGCAAGCAGACAGTGGGAAGTGGAGTCCCCCAACCCCCACTCGCGGTCTCAGGACAACCCCAAGTGCCATCCTACCTCGGCCCCACTGCGGAGGCCACGGGAGGTCTGTGGAAATCCCCTGTACACCCACTGCCAGGGAAGTTCTCGCGTGTCACCCTAGTACCCCCAAGGCTACAACACCTACGCCCGTCGGGGACCAAAGGGGGAAGGGTCAGCGAGCGGGTGGGGCGCCGAGCCGGAATCCCCACGCCGCCGGGCGCCGACCAACCCGGTCTAGCCCGGGGCATCCCCGCGGAGCGCAGACTGCCCGCGGGGGGGAAGGGCGGTGGTGACGGGGTGTCCCAGTCTCCGGGGTCCCGACAGCTCGGCTCAAGTGCAGAGTCCTTCTCCAGCCCACGCCCACCGCCCGGGGACAGTGAGGCAGGATCCGCCGTAGGACATCCGTCCCGGCGCCCCTCTTGGCCCGGACCCCACCCGGGACCCGCGCATCCGGACCCCCGACTCCGGCCTCCACGCCTGGGGAACCTCGACGAGCTTTGTTAACCCCCCACAACCCCCGCCGCCGCCGTCGGGCTCGTCGGGGGCCGCGCGCCCCCCGCCTCCTCCCCACCGCGAGCCAGAGCCGCACCTGTGCCCGCCGCCGCCGCCGCCGCCGCCGCTCGCCTGCTCCCTCGGCTGTGCCGGCGCCGCTCCGAACCCCACACACATCGCTACACACAGCCCTCTGACGTCACCGAGCCCTCGGCCCGCCCACGTCACTGCGGAGACACACGGCTTCCCGCAGACGCCGCCGCCGTCTCCGGCCGCCCGGGGGAGAGCGAGGGCGGCGAGGAGGAGGAGGGGAGGTGAACGGAGCCAGCGGCGGCACCGCGCGCGCAGGTCTGCCGCCGTCGCCTCGCGGCTTCCAGTTCCTCGGGGACGCGCGCGCCGTCTGGCCTATTGTGGGTCCTCAGG